TGCAATGTGGCGAGATTGGCCTCGTCACAAGAAACATAACACTGAAGTGTATAATAGGGGGAAGTTGTATATAAAATGTATAAAAGTTACTTGCCAACTCAAATATGAGGCAACTAACCCTCTTCCTCTACAGCATTAGTACTAGTCACCATGTCCCCAATATCATTAGCCTTTTCTTTCCTTTCCCAACTATCATGCAATTTTGAGTTGTCCTCCAGATTCCCTGGGGAGTTCTATGATCCTGGTGTCTGTTTAATGGAATGTGAGGGTGTATATGGAACTAAAAGGGTAAAAGTGTGACTTGTCATGCATTGAAAGTGACATATGCAGATGCATTCACTGGGGAACTGAGCACTGGATGAGCTTGAATGGGCTGAATTTCCACTTACCTGTCTCAGGTGGACAAGTGGAAATTTTAAGTCCTGTGTAGATATAAATACAATTCTTCTTCTGTGGAAATTATTTAATTCAGCTTTCCCAATCTATTAACGGAGACATACCAGTGAACCAGGAAAAGTTAATTACTCAATTTTAGTGGAGCCGGGAAATGCCAAAATGTTTTGAAGACTGAATTTAGAACCAACTTGTAAACTGAGTGGCAATGTGCAAATTGTGTGGTAAGGAAGTGAGATGGGGCGAGTGAAGGATCTTCTCACTAGTGGCGGTATGAAACATGTGCAAAAACACCACAAGTCTGTTTTACTAAAGGAAAGGAGCAGTACTAGGGTAGGAAACAGGTACACTGGTGCTGGTTATTACAACCTACCACAAGCACTACCTCCTCCGCTACTACCACCACCACAAGGCAGTTTAAAATGCAGTTCTGGTGCTGGTGGTGGTAGTAATGTTTTAAAATGCCTTTCATTGTAATGGTTTTGCCCTGCTTTTGTCTCAAAGTGCCTGCTACCTCTGCAGACGTAGATGGGAGTAGTTCATATGGCACTGTTTTTTCCACACTGATGGACAGTCAGCAACACTACAGGCTAGATGTGTGGGAAAGAAATGTTCATATCAGGGTGGAAGGGGTCATTTTTGTTTTATAAATACCCCTTTTTTTTTTTTTTTTTTTACTTAAAATGGATCCTGCTCCCCATTTTATCATTAATACAAGATAGCAAAAGAAAACTTTTTTTTTTTGGCCAGGCAGTGTATAATAATGTAAATTTTGCATCTCATTATTGGCATTGCAAACATTATTGATATTGTATAGCCATTAGGCCAGGCAATATTGCAATATTGTAGCTATTATTACTAGCTAGCACTGTAATGGGCACATTTTTGGGCACTTTTTTTCCTGCTTTTCCAGCTTCCCAAATTCCTTTACTGAATTTTTTTCCACAGTTTTCCCCTGCGCACAAATCTATTATTTAATCTAACTGAAAAATGGCAGCTAATATATATTCGTAAAATATTAAATATTTTGGAAATTTCTCTTACATGCATTTCACACAGAGGCATGGTTGATGTGGAGTGTCACGAATAGATGGTAATACGTGTTACAAGCTCTTTTCTATTTCTGAGTGTCCATGGAACATAGGTTGACCTAATAGGGTTATCAAAATTGCCAACAAGAATATTGTATCAATAGCATTGACTTTGAAATGCTTGCACACCAAACCCTCAGCTGACCCTTTCAGGCCTGGAACCTATTACCCGGTGATTTGAATGGATATGGAACCATCTGAGCTATTTCACATCTCAAAAATGAGTTTTCTGCAGATGTCTTAGTTTTTTTGTTTTGTTTTTCAGTTTACTGCTTTGTCAGAAACATTGCTTAATAAATATAATGAATTTCTGCACATTAAGGACTTTACATACAGAAACAGTTGCACAAAAATAGACATCTGGAGTCATGTGAGTGCATGTGTGAACAAAACATCGCTTGTATCAGCACAGTTTCAATTAACTTTAAATATTCTTGAGAGGGCAAAAAAGTCTGATGTTACAAAATTTGGTTCTAAGTGAGTAATTTGCCAAGCTGGATATCACTGAACACATGATACAGGTGTTACTAATGTTCTTTGACGGATCAGGAGATGATTGTTTTTGACTTTAATGTTCAACTTAGCAAGCGTGCAGTCTAAATTTGGGTTCTACGCACAATGTGATAGTGTAACTCACTCACAAAATGCAGTTGGATATTTATCATCATATAAACACATCTTAAACTATTTATCTATTGCATAATATGACTGAAAATTGTTTACTTCCTTAACCAGCTGAGGTTTTATAATAAAAGTACAAGAATTACTTAGATGTAACAAATTCTAACACACAGATGTTCTGCAAACTTCCCCCCCCCCCCATTGCTTTACCAGTAATATGCAAGATGACGCATGTACTTTGACACTCCATACTGTAAAAATGTAATGATTTAAAATGCAAATGTATTTAACATTTTATCTGGCATGCTCTTTTAACTGTAATTGAACGTGTGTACAAAACACATGTATTTGCATCTTTTTGGTATGCTATACAAGTTATTATTTTTATTTATAAAATGCCAAAATATTCTACAATATAAATTACATATAACGGTAAAGCATTGTTCTAACTGAGCTATGTTGTCTTTGGCATTCCATTGTATCTGAATTATATATAGTAGTATAGTTAAATGATATTCAAGTGACAAGAGAATACTTAATCCCATACACATTTTTTCAATGCATGCATATTCTCTCGTTATACTATATACACATAGATCCATACATACACAGACACAACCAAATTTATTTTGCACACAAAGTCTCATTCATACACACATGTACAAAGGATATCAAAAAAGAAATACCAATTTCAGACATTTGTCCAACTAAACCAGTGTTTCCCAATTGGTGTTCCGCGGAACGCTGGGGTTCAGCAAGAACACAAATGGGGTTCCGTCGTAATTTTGCAAAGCAAAATGGTGCCGCGATTTGATCACTTAACTGAGGTCCAATCGGGTGCTGTGGCACTTTATGAGCACGACTGGGCCCCTGTAGTATCGGCCGGCTGGGAGGAAGTGACAGCACTTCCTCCCAGCTTCACAGAGTTGCTGCCGCGCAGTAACTCTGTGGGAGGATTGACTGGAGAAAGCCACGCAGATAGAGAGCACCATGTATGGCAGAGGAGAGGTTGGAGTGAGCATGCAGCCGCTCACTCCCATTAGCTTCGGCCAACATCACCAGGACCACAAGGTAAGTTAAATGGAGGGTGGCTCTGATGTATGTCAGATTGTGTGTGTATGTGCCAATGTGTGTGTGTATCTGTGTGTGTGTAATTGCCAGTGTGTATCAGTGTGTTTTCATGTGCCAATGTGTATATGTGTGTGTATATGACAGTGTGTGTATCTGTGTGTCAAGGTGTGTGTATGTGTCAATGTGTGTGTCTGAGTGTGTGTATGTGCCACTGTGTGTATCTGTGGGTGCAAGTGTGTGTATGTGTATATGTCACTGTGTGTATCTGAGTATGTGTATGTGCCAGTATATGTATCTGAGTGTGTGTATCAGTATGTCAAGGTGTGTGTGTATATGTTTGTATGTGACATTGTGTCTGTGTGTCAAGGTTTGTGTATTTGTCACTGTGTGTATCTGAGTGTGTGTATGTGACAGTGTGTGTATCTGTGTGTCAAGGTGTGTATATCTGAGTGAGTGTGTGTGTGTGTGTGTGTGTGTGTATGTGTCAAGGTGTGTAAGTGCCAGTGTGTGTATCTATGTGTGTATATGTCAGTATGTCAGTATCAGTGTGTTTGCATGTGCCAATGTGCACATCTGAGTGTGTGTGTCAATGTGTGTATCTTTGTGTCATGGTTTGTATATGTGTCACTGTGTGTATTTGAGTGTGTGTGTGTGTATGTATGTCAGCATGTGTGTATTGGTGTTTGTGGTTATGTGCCAGTGTGTATCTGTGTGTCAAGGCCTGTGCATGTGTGTATGTCAGTGTGTATATGACTGTGTGTGTATGTGTCAATGTTTTTATATGTGTCTCTGTGTGTTAATTTGTTTTGTATGTATGTACGTACATGGCAGTATATGTGCATACATCCCAGCAATCAAACACCAACCCAACATGCAAACACACTTCTGCAAACACAAACATTACATACAAAAACCCCTAGATTCAAATTTCAAACTTATATACAAAACACACACCTCACTCAAACATTAATACTACACACAAGTGTACATCCGCATTTAAAAGCCAACACTACATCCAAGCACACCCCTGCACACAAATGCAAACATTACATACAAACACACTCCTGTATCAAAACGCTAACATTATATACAGACACCAACTGTACACACAAAAGTACAACTGCTCCTAAGTACTACTATGTTTACTTTCTGCACTACTCCGCCCAAAATAGTTTGGGGTTCCATGTTGTTAGCGCATTATGTCAAAGGGTTCCATGGGAAAAATTAATTGGGAACCTCTGAACTAAACTATTTAAGAATAGATACAAAAAATATCCCACTATATACAAAAATTGAACGAGTCTCCTAACTAGTGTCTCACCAACACCCGACATTACTTATGAATCCACAAACGTATACAAAAAGTATTACAAAAAAAGAAAATGTCCTCTCTTTTTTTGTTATACTTTTTGTATACATTTGTGGATTTATGTTTTAGAATAGATTTTGCCATTTCCAAAGTGTATCTGGATGTTTTAATTTTCTCTTTCTATCAGTATTGTGTTTTTCTCCAATATACTCCCAGATGCTGGCTGATTATGCTATGGTATTAAGAAAATGAATTGTAAGATACTTGACCCTTTGCTTAATTTGTGCAGTTCTCTTTAGTGTTACTTTTAGTTTTTGTTGCTCGCGGTTTTCCTTGTGTTGGTGGAACTAAGAAGGTACAGTATGTGCATGTTTTTGCTTTATTTTAAAATTCCCAAAAAACAGTTGCCAATAAATAGTAAATAGTAGACTTGGAAATGTTACTGTTTTTTATGTATTTTATTTTAGTATAAATATTGAAAATATTTGTTCTCAATTCTCTGTTTAGTGTACAAAGTTCTTAATGCTGGAAGAAGAAATTAAAGCTCAATCCATGATGGTGACACAACCACCCTGATCCATGTCCCTATACATGGAGAAAACGAAAGTTATTAAACTGGTCAAACATGTCTGATGAGTCCTCTTCTGGTGTTTTAACAAATCAATTGGACAAATGTTCTATCAAGATTGTACTTTTTATTAGCAAGTGAAAAGGCATATGCTACAACACAAAAGTAATAATATTACATTATCATCACATTTTCACAAAGAACCCATGTGACACTTGATCCGACATCAACATAGTAAAAATTTTAAAAATAATAGTAAATGTATCTATCCTCTAGTATCACCTTTGTCTCTTGTGTGTACTTGATTATTCAATTTAAAGTTTACTTATCTTAGCTTTACATAAATGTACTCCAAAATACATATCATCTCTAATGTGTGGCTCTTGCAAAGTAAAAATAAATTTTACTAACTTTATGTCATCAAACCATCTATTTTAGAACTTCTCAAGGACCTCCACACTCTTATGGAATGCTCTTCTTTAACCTAAGGGCATTATTTTGTTATTTATATAGCGCCAACAAATTCCGCAGAGCTTTACAGTGGGTTACCGAACAGACATGTAGTTGTAACCAGACAAGTTGGACACACAGGAACAGAGGGGTTGAGGGTCCTGCTCAATGAGCTTACATGCTAGAGGGAGTGGGGTAAAGTAGCACAAAAGGTAAGGATAGTATTCGACTAATGACAGTTGCAAGTGAGGAATCAGCCAGGAGCTATTAACAGTTTAATTGATATGCTTTTATGAAGAAGTGGGTTTTTAATTATTGTTTGAAGGAGTGGAGACCGAGTGAGCATCTGCATGTTTCGCGAAATGTGATCCTATGTTATGTTTTACTCTATATCTAATGTTCTTTATGTAAGTAATAAAAGATATAAAAAATTTAGCATTTTAAACAAATACTTACAAATTACTTTTTTTCTTTCAATATCATTAGAGAACAAATTAAGTTGACCTGAATTAACCCTGCAGTACTTCACTTACCACATTTGTACAAAGTATTTCCATTAACGACTACTCTCTGCACTCCACCAATGTTCAATTCAAAACAAGCATTTTCATCCGAACCAACTTCTCTTGATTTATAAAGTAAAATCCATGTAGATGACATATGACAACACCCTATTCTATACTTCTATTAACTTTCAAAAAAAATGCAATTATGTTTTTATTGGCTTGTATATCTCGGCCTTTTGATATTCCTTCAATGAGAATTAAAACATCATCGTAAATATGCTGGGTGGAGACTACTCCATGTAGATTTACTAAGCTTTTTCAGAATATTCACCTTAATTGTATTTATTTGGCACTTATTTTGCAGATACTTTATATGGCCAGACATTTTAAACAAGATAGTGATTTTTGTTTGTAACCTGATTTGAAAACATACAAAGTTATAAACATTGAGTAGCTAAAGCAGCTCACTTGTTCTTTTACTATTACTTTTCCAGTGTTTGCAAAGGATGATGATGAAATAGAGAGGCATGTCAGTTCTTGTCTGAGCGATTGTCAACTGCATTAATGTCATTGCCAAGCTTCAACTACGGTTCAATGCAAAATGTCTACTGGATTCTGCATCTACAGTGAAAAATCTAGCAATGTTCCATTTCTTCTGGTTGGTGTGTACTTCCCTAATATTTTTATGACAACCTGCTGAGTGGGTGGAATTGATGCTTTAGAAGATAAGAAAAAATGTGATCAAAACTTTTCTAATATAATTCTATTTTGGTATTCACTGAGTGTGGTATTAGGTTTATTTTCTGCCAGTCTTCGGCTAAAAAAGCTAGATTATTTTGTCCATACAATTATTCACAAAACATATTTTAATAACATAATGTGCTTTCAAAAATATTATACACATGCAAGATATTCTTCAGTAAAACAAACTTGCAATCTAAAAATTCTGTTAAATGCACAATTCTTTAAGTGAGCATTATCTTAGGAAACAAAAATGCTCTCTCTCCCCCTCTCTCTCTCTCCCCCTCCCTCCCCCTCTCTCTGCATATAT